AGTCATTTCACAAGCACGACATTTTCGCATGAAATGTTGGGGTTTTCCATTACCATGACATTTCTTTTTTGATTTCTGTTGTTCATAATCTATCTCTTCTCCTGTGTGCACTTGATTAGCAGAGAGTTTATCCCACCAATGATCTTGTGTATCAGAACAGATAAAAAGCAAGATGAATAATTTTTAGAAAAAAAAACAAAAACTTCAACGTTATATTCATTTACTCAAGAACAAAAGCAATCGATAGATCCTATGTTGTTTCAAGTCAATTTTTAGTAACTAGTGGATTGATGATGACCACAGTACTAAATACACGTGATAAATCATCTTCCAAACTTCATTGTAGTACTCGACAATGTAAAAAAAATGTCGACGAGGTTCACGTAGACAATCACAAATGATTTTCTGGATCTTATCGAACATTACATCAATACTTTCTTCTTCTGTAGCCTCTAAATGTACTGTTATTGTTGATGCCTACAATCCCAAAATGTCATATAAAAGAAGAGAATTGTGCGTATTGTCTTTTAATCATGGCTTAATTTGTAAATCATTTTATAATTGAAATTGTAACATGATATTAGTGTTGATTGTTAGGTAGTGGCGCTATCTTTTGTTCACTACCTCCTTTTTCTTCTCTTATCTGTTCTATTGATTGGTCATCTGTGTGATCCATAAGAATAGATAGATGACCGGATTATTATTAGTTAGTGTGTTTTTTTCCCGAGTAGAAAAGAATAAAAACGTGAACCAGGAGTGTTGATCGACACTTCCTAACAATTGGTGCCGTGACCCGTCGTGATCCATTTCGACCACAATTCGTCGAACACGATAAGATTTTTTTTCCTCTAGTGAAGTTGTTTTTTTTTGTCCTAGTCCTGATCGTCTTCGATTTATTTCTATTGTTTTTCTGGTTTAACTTTTGTCTTTATGACCTTTATTCTGAAGTTATTATTCTTACTGGTGCCTATGTTATCATTCTGATCATTGTGTTATTCATTACTTTTATTGTCCTGTTTCTGCTGAATTTACTATTCGTCTTATTGTTATCGTGAAGTATTATTATTAATTATGGAAGAATTAATTCGATCAGTTATACGATTTGATGGTGCTCTAAATCAAGATGTTATTCAATGGCTAGAATATATTGAAGAAGTATTTGATCGAGTACAATTACAAACACCAAATAAATATATTGCTATACAATACTTTTTAACTAATAGTGCTGCTACGTGGTTTAAATATAAGAAATCAAATATTTCTGATTGGTTTACATTTAAACGTGAACTTATTGAAGCTTTTCAATCGTCGTCCTCCTTTTCCTCGTCACATCTTCTTGATCAACATCAATTAATAATTAAAGAAGAACCACAAAAACTTGAACAAGAACAAGATATATTACCTGTTCCTGCATCGACTTCAACAATATCCAACAAGAAAAATGATAGTGAAAATTATCAATTAGATTTACTTCATGATGGTTCGATTAAATCATTAGAAAATTTAGAAGTTGATAATTTAGAAGATAAATGTTTACGTGAAAATGAACAAGGTTATTACTCATCTATGTTAGTTAATACTAATGATTTTGATCTGGATATTCAACATCAAGATGCAGATGCAGCAGATAGTTGCGATACACAACAACAAGGTGAATCTGTTATTAATTCTGATTCTGTTCAAACTGATATTGAAGATACTTTTGAAGATTTTACTCGACCTATGGATATTTTAACAGGTAATGATTCATTAATTAATATTGTTTTACCACATGATGTTCAATATTTATGGTCTGATAAATATAAACCACGTCCACCTCGAATTCTTAATAAAGCTCCTGCTGTTTATAATTGGAACCGATATAATAAGCTACATTGCAACAAAGATGACTCACCACCACCAACTATTCAAGAGAATCAATTTAATACTGTTAGTAAAGAATGGAATTACACATATAATCATGGACTTCGATTTAACTTTTATAATGAAATGATTCAATTAAGATTTTCTTTCCGTAAATGGAAATATCGTCTCTCAACTTTATTTTGTTTTCGTAAATGGAAATATCGTCGAGTAACTTTTTCTGTTTGTTTTTATTGTTTGTCGTTTAAAACTGTTCTACCTTATGTTATTTTTTCATTTTTGCTGTTTTTTCTTTGGTGAACTTATACTTTTATGTTACTCAAACTATATCTCAGGATATACATAAAAAAAAAAGAAACAACAGAGTTACTATTGTTCATCCTCATCTATTTTTTCACAAGTACTGTATTCTATTTTTTCTATTCTCAGTGATGATGCTGTTACACCTCGTGTTTCTTTTATTTGTTTAATTTCTATCTCTTTATTTGTTATTATCTCTTCGTGAACAGATAAAACCGTTCACTGGTAAGGGGCGGAGGTGTTAGGTAGTGGCGCTATCTTTTGTCCACTACCTCCTTTTTCTTCTCTTATCTGTTCTATTGATTGGTCATCTGTGTGATCCATAAGAATAGATAGATGACCGGATTATTATTAGTTAGTGTGTTTTTTTCCCGAGTAGAAAAGAATAAAAACGTGAACCAGGAGTGTTGATCGACACTTCCTAACATTGATGATGGCAGAGCAAATATTTGTATATAAAAATGGCTTGTTTTTTGCTATTTTCTTCAATGGTTTTTTTCACAATATTGTGAGTAACTTACAAAAAGTTTGAAAAATGAAACGAACAATATTGTTGATACTGTTGGTTCTATATATTAATCAATGTCTCAGCCAAAAAGGTTTTCCGAAACAATTTCAAGCAACAATAAATATAACTGGATTAAAGTCATGGGATACATCACTGGGCGTTCAAAAATTATTGTATGATTATGAAAATTTAAGAGCACGTATTGATATTAAAGCGTGGCGAGCGCAACAAAAGCAAGTTTACATGATTAAATACAAGCCTGAAGGTGCTGAACCAGATTCCGTAAGTAGAAAATAATTGATTATACACAAATAGATTCCATAAGCTGTTTTTCTCAGCCAGCTTCGCAGGGCTATACCTTGTTCAATTTCAATCCTGATTATCCAGAATTGACTAAAGTAAAAGGTCAATTTTCTTGTTTTTCTCTTTAAATAATATGTTTTTTTAAAGAATGATTGTTGGTACAGAACAGATCCAATGGGTGATACAGGTCCATTTCCATGGATCTGGTTTCATGATTCAAAATATGTCGTTGATGAACAAGATCATACTAATATTCAACCATGGTTTCCATTAACATTAAATCTTATCAAAAAGGATGAAGAATGGATACCAGAAATTCAACTAAATGCAACAGTATGTGTTCTTATTTCGATAAGACTTTGGACGAGTTTATGAAAATTTCATTGTTGTAGAGATATAATTCACCGGAAATATGTGATTTAAAACGATCTGGTATTGGTAAAGTTCCATGTTTAAGCTATTTTGAAACAAAAGATAGACCAGTTAAAACTATTCATGCACGTGCTGCCGTAGGTGGTTATGATAGTGATGAGTAAGTATAAATTGCTAGTTTTTACACATAAATCATATGTTTGTATATAGATATACAAGAGTTAGATTTCTCGTTGCCACGCTCCTTTTCTTTATTTTTCTTTT